TTCCTCCCAGGTCTGTTCCTGGCCTCCAAGCCCACTGCCACCGGCTACCCCCCACCCCGGCGCTCCAGCTGGCCATGAACAGAAGCCATGGCCCTCCTTGGTGTCTGCAAACCTGAGGGTCCCCCACAGCCCCTTTTCCTGCTCTCCTGCCCTTTGGAGAGGTTCAGCTCAGCCAGACAAGATGGAGCAGCCACTGGCGCAGGGGACGATGGAGGATTCCCAGTGTCTGTGTAGGAGTCACTGGCAACCCAGCCCTGCTCCCCAGAGCACGGAAGAACTGGGGTGGTGGTCCCAGTGAGATCTGGCAGCAGGTGTTAGCATCCGGCTGCGTTTCAGAGCTTGAGGACCTCCACTGGGCTGGGGCCTGCCAGTTTTTTCCACCAGTTACAGCACCAGAGCTGCCCTGGCTCACTGAGGGGGACATGGCAGCTAGGGACAGGGCAGGAACCAGATCTCCCACATCTACTCCCAACATGGGCTGGGCTTTTCTGCTGCTGTGCAGGATGAGACAAGATTGATCAATGGCCCTGGGCTTCCCCAGCCTGCTCCTGAGGCCTCTTCTCCCCTGGGACACCTCACACCCTGAGCCGGGTGGCAATTGCTCTGCCAGAGAAACAGCTCTTCATGTTCACTTTCAACAGCTATGCCCCAAAAGCACTTCTGTGTTTGTGATCTTGAGGATTTGTGCCTGGAAGGCAGTTTCACTCATTAGACTCTTAAGTAGATGCCAATTATTTGCTCAGACACAAACTGCACTAGTAACCCTGGCCATGTCTAATTTGGAGTCCAAGTACTGCGTTCCCTACAGACAAGTTCTCCACCAAGCCCTCAAGGTGCTCCAAATTTCATTAAAGTTGTCAAGATGCAACAAGAAGAGTTTTGGATGAGGCTCACAAAGCTACAGCTGGTGCAGTTACAAGCCTGAGCTGATGAAACAGGCCCTAACCCAATATGGGCAGGAGGTCAGAACTGAAGATACATCCAGACCCAGTCCAGTTGCCTGCAGGGCATGAGCTCAGCCCTACCAGTTATACTGGCTATGAGCTTTCTTTGTACGGCTCTGGTCGTGCATCATAGTTTGGGCCAACCATGTGGATGCTCTCTCAATTCACCTGGACACACACTGGACATTGTTGCTCCATTAAAGGGCCAGCCACAGCAGAGTCCTTGGGAAGGGCTGCCCTTGGTCAAAGTAGTCACCTCTACACATCACACAGCCTAAGTCCTTCCAGGCTTGTATGAGGTACCCTGCAGCTCTCCTGACAGCTACGTTTGGGAGGTACTTGGGCTATCTTCAGTGCTCAGCAGCCAGCTAGCACAGTCAGAACAGCTTCAGTCATTCTTATCCATGATCTCCAGGACCAGTGTGATCAGCAGCCCAACGAGGATTCCAACCACCCACATCGCACAGGTTACATCTGCAGGCAAAGAACAGCACAAGAAGTTTTTCTGCTCTACAGGTTACAGCTGAATGTGCAACCTGTGAAGCTCTTGGTCAGGGACCAAGCATCACAACACCATGCCTAAAGGCACACAATGGCCACATGCTCTTCACCTCCAGTCCCATGGCTTCAGCACCCTGCAGAGCCTGACTCTCGTCACCAGGCAGCAGTGGAGATCATCTGCACACCAGAGGTAGGTGTGACCCCCCAGGTCCCAGCAGGCAGCCTCCAGCATAAGGCTGGCTCACCAGAAGGCCATTTCTAAGATCCTCAGGGATGTCGTCATCAGGAACAACTCCTGCAAGCCCTCCCCTATGGAGGGGTACCTGCTCCTATTTCCAGCCCAAGACATCATCCAGGCAAGCAATCTCTGCAGCATTTTGGAATCCCCCAGAAGGCCCCGTGTGGCATTAGGCACCAAATGAGATGCAGAGCCACCTTCAAGCCCCTCTAGGACCTCACAGGCAGGAAGCTTTCAAAGACACATCACTCCTCTGCCTAATAAAAGCCTCAAACAGAGGCAGTTACACCACTGAGGGACCTTTATACCCCTCGGAGGGGTGTGGCTGTCCCTGATTGGCTGGCACAGCTTACAGGTGGCAGCTCCGGATTGGCTCAGTGCAGTCTCCCTCACACTGTGATTGGTGAGCTGCTGCTGTAAAGGGTGAGGCAGCAGCAAAGACATGTGGAGGCACATGGTTGGCTGAGGGGAAAAGGCAGGTAGCAGGCTGGGATTGGTCAGGCCTTGGTGCTGCTTGACTGTGGTTGGTGGAGACAGCATGAGGAGGGGGAGGGAAGTGTGGAGGCGAAGGGATAAACAGGTGGCAGCATGGGATTGGCTGCTAGGCTGTGCTGAAGCATGGGGATTGGCTGGGATTTGATGACCCAAGCAGTGGGGCTGAGGGATTCCTGCAGTGGCCCATGCACTGAGCTGTATCCACTCTCAGTCCCCAGTGCTGGGACCAGCCTGCTCCCCTTCTCTGCTCTGCAGCCAGGGAGTTTCTGCCCTCTGCACTGAAGACACAGAAGCACATCCAGAGGGCTGCCAGACCTCCCTGACACCCAGCCACGATGGGTTAAAGACAGGGTACGGAAACACCAGGGCTGCCCTGCACAGCTGGAGGCAAGGGAGCCAGCCTTGCCCTCTCCATCAGCAGTGGCCATAGGGCACATGGCAGCCGGGCAAGGACCAGGAGATGTGGAGGTGGCAGATTCCCCAGCCTGCTCTTGCCTCACCCCCCACTGTGCCATGCTCTACCCACTGCCAGTCTGGCTGGCTGCAGGCAGCCACCGGTTTTACCCACATGCCAGACCCAAGAAGACACTACTACCCAAGACCCCCAGGTCTTGGGAGGCTGTGAGCTGTAGGTCAGGTCCTGCTCTGCAGTGGGGGCCAGTAAGGTCACTGGTCCCCCAGACATCACCCTGCACAGGGTCCCCATGTGTCGGTGACACAGAGCTGGTTCTCACCCGCTCCTCAGCTGCAGAAACTGATTTGAATAATTTGCCTCACAAATCTGTGAGCACCACCTCAAATCGCACATCACCAGAGCCCCTCATGGTGCACAAGCCATGCACCATGCAGCCATGAGGAGACAGCACAGCTCCTGGCACCGCACAACAAAGCAGCACCTACCAGTATGGCAACACTCGGTAAGGCTCAGCGGCGCTGTTTGCTGCTCCTGTGTTGTCACACCCCATCAGGGACATCAGAGCACCTGCTAATTAAACCTGGCGCTGGCCTCCAGAATGCTAAGAGCATCCCATCACCCAGGCACCTGACAGGCAGGGCTGGACACTGCCTGTGAATTGAGGCAGTAAATCTGGTAAGTTATCAGCTAGCACCACAATTAGTTGGATAATTAGGGACAAGGAGTGAGTTTTTGAGCTTGTTTGCCACGGGTGCAAACACAGAGTAAGTGACCTGGCTGCTGCTGGGGATCAGGAAGAGCTGTGACCAGCACACTGAATGCACAATTCCTCTTGGGGTTTTTGAAAGGTTTCTTCTTTAAGTAAAATAAAAATCACCCCCCCTTCCCCAGCATCTTAATGTTAACTCCCAGGAACTGCACAGTGCGATAAGGAAGCAAGAGCATCTGGCAAGGCTTCTGCACAAACCCAGGTCAGCAGGGCAAGCGCAGTCACCCGGGTGAGGGTTTGGGAGGCACAGATAGAAGGCAGGTTCCATGCAAACAGCCTCCACACACCTGGCAGAGCCAGCTGAGCTTTTCAGAGCTCCAGTGCTCTAGAGAGGAATGATGAGTTGAGGGAATTATGCAGTTAAGCAGTAGAGGTCTAGGTGAAGTTACAGCACTTCTGGTTTAGTTAAAGCGGACAAATCCCAGCCTGCCTCCCAGGATCCCACCACCAAACCTCTGCTGACTTGGCACCCCAGATAGAGCTGGGCAGCCAGTGCAGGCTGGAGCAGCCTTCAGGGGCCACCTCTGGCTGAATTCAATCCCTGCTGAATGCTGCCTCCCCCAGCACACATCCTAACCTGCTGCCAACGATGCTGTAAACAAGCCTGTGCTGCCTCACGCAGCCCAGAAAGTGAGGCATTTCATAGAATGGGTTGGAAGGGACCTTAAAGATCATGCAGTTCCAACCCCCTGCCATGGGCAGAGACACCTTCCACTAAAAAAGCCCCGTCAATCTGGCCTTGAACACTGCCAGGGTAAGGCAGTCTGATCCAAAACTTCACCGCTCTCACAGGGTCTTCCTGGTATCACCCACTATCCAACTACAGCATTAACTCACCCACAGCAGACACTGAAAGATTTTGGGGGTGGGTTTCTTGTGCCCACTGCTCCAGCCCAGCACAGTCCCCAAGTCCAGTTGTAGATGGACAGGATTACTGAGCATCCCATACCCATGCACCCCAGCTCACCTTTATAGAGCCTACATCTGCAGTGGTTTCCTGGCCTGACCTGTCCCTACCACTCCCCAAGACCATGCACAGGTGATGCTGGGGCACAGCTGCAGCAGCCACCAGAGTACAGCTATGAGAACACCTTGCCCCAGGGATAGCACAGCACTGTGCTGCAGACACCAGCTGGGCCCAGAGCCCCCAGACTCACCTCATCAGCACTCTGCACCTCTCAGCTCTTGCTCAACCTAACTTCTCAGCCCAAGTCCAAAGTAAAGAAAGGAAGGCAGGCAAGAAAGAAACAAAAACCAAAACCAAATGAAAACGAAAACAAAAAGCAGCAGTTGGGAGGCAGCCTTGTTAGGACAACTCAGCAAAATAAAATTCCGGTTTATTGTTGGACAACATTGTTTCACACATACATCAAACAGGCCAAAAAAAAAAAAAAAAAAAAGGAAAAAAAAGGAAAAAAAAAAAAAAAGAAAAAAAAAGACCAGAACAAAAAACCCCCCCAAAACCAGCAACTTCATAGACAGAACCCCCCCAAAACAAAACAAAAAACACAACAACAAAACAAAAAACACAAAAAAAAAAACAAACCTTTTTATCTTTGGCCTTGCCACCTCATACAAACCACAATCTATGGTACAGCTAAAGTACAATACACAAAAAAAGTTACTGGAATGCTCAGATAAGATTGTAAATTTTTTTTTTTTGCATTTTTGTCTCTTTTTTAATTTTTTTTTTTTACAAGGTTTTGTTTTATTCTCCTTTGAGATAATGGTTTGGGCCTGGTCACACCACAAGTAAAGTCAGAGATAGGTAACAAGAGAGATATACACTTCAAAGCCCCCCTTTTGGTCAATCCGAGATCACTTAAAAATGGCGGACCTCCTAACAATATGTACAAAAATATAAAATGTAAATAAAAAATACAAACAAATTCTCCTTTAAAGTACTTTTAAGAAAGAAAGCAGGGCCTTGAAGTTTTGGTGCTTGGGGGGAGGGTCTGTGGGAAAGGGGGGTTCTCTCCCCGCTAACAGGCGAATCGTTTCATATGGTCATTGAGTGGCAGCGCTGCGCCGGGGGGCTGGGGTTCACTCTACTTGGTGAGGATGACCACGGCAGAGGGGGGAGGAAGGGCTGTGTGTGTGTCGGGGAGGGGGAAAAGGGCTGTAACGGGAGCGAAGGGGGTCCCAAGGGTGAAAAGGATGCGCTGGCCTTTTTTTGTTGGTTTGTTTTCCTCCTTATTTAAAAAAAAAAATAATAATAATAAATTTGCTGCCTAGTCATCTTCATCGGTTTTCTGCTTCTTGGGATCGACGTCGTCATCCTGGAGGGAAAGCAAAGCCATCAGGAGAGGAGAAGTGGAGCGGGGCTGGGAGCCCTCTGGCGTTAGCCACAGCAAGGTAGGCAGCCTGGTTTCAGGTCCCTCCCCCAGCACAGGGACAGGGAAATACGAGAGTACTTTCCTTGTGCAAAATCCTCTTTCTCAGCCAGCTCCGGAGCCCCTGAGCACCGTGGGACTCCCCAGCCAGAGCCAGCAGCTCGGCACAGCCAGAGCTGACTGACACCCCCACTAAGCAGGCCAGTGTATAAACAGAACTGGGCCACACCCCTGGAGAGGCACGGGAGCACACAGGCAGGGTGTTACAGCCCCACAGCCCAGCCTGGCCTCTGGCACCACTGAAGCTCCCCTCCAACCCTCTGAAGACACAGGTGGCTCCAGGCAGCCAGGTGCTTTTCCTACCTCATCATCCTCAGCTGCCCTTTTGCCTGTGGCTCCCTCAGCTTCATCATCTTCATCACCATCCTCTTCCTCACCTGCATGGAGAAAGGGAGGAATGAGACCCTCTTGAAAGACCCCCTTGAGACCTTCCTCTTGGAAGGTTACAGGACCATACACCTTCCCAGTAAGTTTAATTCCGGCTCAGCCCCACAGTGATGCCCAGCATTCCATCTTCCCAGCTGGCACAGACAGCAGAGCCTGAAGACACAGGGGATTTCAGGGCATCCCCCACTGACTTGACCCACCCAAGGGGAAATAAGGATTGACAGTGTGAAGTCTGGCTCACACTGTGCTTGCAGTGCAAGCAACGGGACAGCAAAACCAGCACCTGCCACAAGCACCAAGATCACACATGCACACTAAAAAAGTATAAAATGCTTTCCAGTGGCTGCTCCTCCCAACTGCTCCAGATTACTTCTGCTTCCCTTCGCAGCTATTAGTCCATCTTTAATGAGTTAAGAGAGCCAGAACGCATTAGTTCTGAGTCAGAACACTTTCCAATTATCAGAACAGCAGACAAATGTTACCGACTTATCTTGCAGCCAGAGAAGAGAATGAGCAGAACTCTGGGCTTTGACCCACTTCGATCTCAAATAGGCCAGTGGATCAGAACAACCTAGTCTATCACCTTTGTGCAGTTTTGGGGGGTTGGGGGCAAGACCAAAGGCTGCAGAGGAACAACAACCTCTTGGCTGCCAAGATGAGTCTCTTGTGTAACAGGAGACCCTACTAAAACTTAGAGCATCAAGGCCAGTAAGCTGGCTTTAAACCACGGCCACGAGCCACACGTATAGACAGCTGGGGGGATTAAGGTCAGCCCATCCTCCCTTCCCTTTTCCTCTCCCCAGCATGCGCCCAGCGGCAGCATGGCCCATGCAGGGGGAAGGACCAAGATTAGCTACCAGTGATGGATCAACACCCCGGCAGCCATCACATGCACTGCGCCGGTGGGCAGGTCAGGTGACAGTGCCAAGCTGATTGGGAGCATTTTTAGTTCTTTGAGCTGCTTTAAGCAAAGCAAATAATGAGATGGGATGGGGACAAGGGTGAGAAAAAACACACCCAAGATCCCCTCTGCTGTCAAATTCCAGAATGGAGCTTGGCTGCAAGTGTTGGACAAAAAAGAAAACACACAACAACCTGATACAAGCTGCACTCACTGTCCTGGAATCTCTTTCCTGCAGCATTCAGCTGCTCAGGTGCAGCTCTCAGGCAGGGATCACCCAAGGGCAGCAGGCACGGACACACAAGAGCCCATGCAGGATCCCAGCGAGGTGTTAACACCTCCAAGCACTGTGTGCTAAATTGTGCCTGTGCTGGGAACAGCAGGCCTGGCACCGTGGGACTGAAGCTCCCCAGGCTTGTCACAGCAGTATCCAAGCAACACTTCCACCCCACACACACATGCCTGTGGCACACACATCCCCCCTCCTGTCCAAGGGGAGGTAAGGAGAGGCAAGCATTCCCCCCCCCCCAGGGCAGGAATGGAAGTAGATGGGTTCAGGACAGCACATGGCACCTGCTAAGCCCCCAAGGGTTAAAATCCCAAGTATGAAGAGGACCAACCACAATTCCCATCTGTTTTCCTAGTGAATCAGCAGACAGAAGGCTGCTGAGAGCAGAGTGCTACCCCAGAGGCAGCAGCTTTCCCTGCTTACACTGTCTGAATAGGTGCTGGCCATTACATTTCCAGCCCTGTCCCTGTCTTCCAAAACTAATCAAAAGTTTCATAGGTCAGCACACAGACTGAAAATGTACAGGGAATTAACCCACTAATAGCTAATCAAGGGCCCCAAGTTCATTCTGGCACAAGAATGGTTTTCTTCTCAGCCTTAACGAGTGATAAAAATAAACATTATTCATCCAAGCAGATCTTGGGGAAAAAAATAATAATAATAATAGCAGGGAGAGCGAGAAGCGATTTGGCAAATCACTGCTGGATCTCTGGTTGCTGCTGCCAAAACCCACTTCCAGGCTAGGTCCGGTTGGGAAGCAGGGGCGGGCAGGGAGATGCAGGACACCACAGACAGGGAAGGTTCAAAACAAGCCTGTCAGCTCCTGCTGAAGGGAGAGGGACGAGCCACAGGTTCCTCCACCCGCTTTCACATGGCATCCACCCCAAGAAATGGCTGGGAAAGAGATCACATCAGCCCCTCAGCTCTGCAACAGCTGTCCTGTGAACAAGGACAGCGATATCTGTCCTCTGTGCCTGGACCAAGGCACAACCACCACAGCTGTCCCCATCCCACCAGCCAGCACTTGCTCATGCAGCAACCTTGTGATCACAGGACTTAAGGGCAGGTTTTGCTACTCGCACAGAAGGGCTAATGCGCTTATTCAGCACCACAGTACGGTGCTGTCTGGCTGGAGGAGGGAGGAAGGAAGGAATCTGCCCTCAACCTGCTGGAAGGGATTCAAGACTGACTTCACTCCCAGCACTGGTGGTTCAGGCAAGCGAGGAAGGAGTGAGCCCGGCTGCAGCCGCGAGGGGGAGATGCTGCTTTTGGCTCTCCTCTGCTTCCCAGGAGTCAGCTGTGCAGGGCAGGACACAGCAATGGGACGGGGACACGGGGAATAAAGAAAAGTTACCATCACCCTCTTCCTCCTCGTCCTCTTCCTCACCACCTTCTTCTTCTTCTTCGTCTACTTCGTTGTCAGCCTCCTGCTCTCCATTTTCCTCGTTCTCCTTGGCAAGACAAAACATCACTTAAAAAAATGCACTGGGGAAGGGAGAAGGGGGAAGAGATGTTCAGCACAAGTGTGCGTCCCCATCTTTCCTGCCTAAAGCAAAGCACCAGCCCATCAAAGCCCCAGGCACGCATCCCGGTTCCTGCCTGCCTGCCTCCACGAGGCAGACAGCCCAGGCACAAAGAATTAAGTCTAGAGTAACTTGGGGCTGCAGCTTCTAGTGGAAGCAAAGGCTCTTGTGACACACTAAAATGTAGCAGAGTGAATTTCCCCAGCATGTTAAAAATAGGAAACCAACCGGTTACTTGTACACAAGGTGTTTCCCACTCAACTAATTGTAACACTGTAAATCTCAGGTTTGGGTTGGCTTTTTTTCCTCTCCCAGGGCGTAGGAAGGAGGCGGCACTGGACATGGCCTCACCCAGCTGTTGGGGAGGGGGATACAAGCCCAGTCCTTCCTTTCTGCACACAGAAGGCTCAGGAGTGTCTGTTGACCCTGAAGCACCAAATGCTCAAGGCTCTGCAAAGTGCTGCCATTTGGAAAGGTCGCCTCTCAGCAAGGCTGTGGACAATCTCATAGAAAAAAATAGTGAGAAGAGAGAGGAGAATAAAAAGGAGTACTGGTGCAAGGGCTGCCTCTCCCTGCAGGCTGTAGCCATACTCACAGCATTGCCATTGGCCGGTGCATCTCTACCATTTTCTGTTTCTTCAACAACTTCCTTCTTCTCTTTTAGATCCTGGAAGAAGCAGAAAAAGCACACAAGTCACTCTGATTCTAGCTGCCTGGGTCAGAGAAGCTGCAGACCAGGTGTGAAAAGCAGTCTAAGAGAGCAGGAGCTGGTTTCTCTTCACGCCCATTTGTTCTGCAATTTGGTCACTGCATTCTGACTCTTCCTTGGGAACAGGAGAGCGTGGGGATGAATCTCAATTCAAGTCAGCCTTGCCACAAAGCAGCTATCTAAAGAAGAGATAGCTCTATTTCACCTCTGAGCACCCAAACACAGAGCACTGGCCACCTGCATATGCTCAACAGCAGCAGAGCTGGCTGACTGCCCATCTTAACACAGTCCACGCAAGCTCCTGCCACGCCACGGAGAGCCAACAGCCCCCCTTCAACACACAGGGGCTCAGCTGCCCCAGGGCTGCGGATGTCCACAGCTGCTCGGTACCTTCACAGTGGGAACAAATCCCAGGGACTCATTATCTGACACTGCGGTCTCTGCCTTGCCTGGGGAAATTCAGATGGCAAATATTACATGCCTGGTCTTCCTTGAAGCGGCAGAAAGGAGACTCCAGGATCCAGCTCGCAGCTGTAAGTGTAACAGGATGGGCTGGGGGAAAAGTCTATTTTTACACTGAACCACGAGCCGTGCCTGGCTGGTTTGGTTCAAATCACCGTGAGCAAAGTGAGAGGAGAGCTTGTGTGGTTTTGCTATTGATCACTGTCAAAATGTCATGCCAAGTCACTCAGCAAACAGGCTGAGAGGATCCAATTTTATGTTCCCGCATAAAGAACACTTGGATTTAACGCTGGCATCTCTGCTCACATCCTCCTCCCCTTCTGTTCCTCCATCAGCTGGAGCAAGATCCTTCAGTACAAGGAGTATTCCCTCAGCCAAGGCTAGCCATACAGCTGGCTTCTGCAGCAACCGTGGTGTTTAACACACCTCGCTGCCCTGCTGCAGCACGAGCAGCTTTGACCCCCTCCCAGCTGCCTTGCAGTCTTGCAGGCACTTTCACTCCTACTAAGCCACTATCACTTCCTTGTGGAAACACTGTGGGTAACAGCATTGCCCTGGTCCTGCTGGTGTGACTCTCAGTCTGTTTTGGGAGGGTTTCTACTACCCAACAGACTGCTAAGGTGGGACAGGCAGGAGTTATTTAAGCCACTTGGACCCAGAGGGGCACACAGAATGTTGCCGGTGGTGCCCAGCCTGCCAGCACACTGAGGACGCCCTAAGCTCTGGGGTGACTCCACCTGTTGATCAAGCCTCACCTAATCACACCAGCACCCCAGGAATCTGGAGTAGAACAGAACACCAAAGCTCCCTCCTCACATTCAAAACCCAGGCCACTTCCTTCACAATTCCACCCTAGTCTTACACCATCGATGGCTCCTCTATTTCCTGAAGACTGATGACAACCCTGTAATTTCTCATGCACTGTTGCACTGCTGCATTCTGCAGCCATGGCCTCACATGAGACACACAGGCATAAGAGCAACAAAGCATTTCCCAACTTAAACACAGCACAGAGCAATCAGTTTCCATATCTCACTATGCCGGTGGTTCTGTTCACAAAACATGAGCCATTCTCCCAGCAAAGGAACACTTCATTCTGGGGGACACCAGCTGAACAAGTCTCCAGCACCGACCTTTCCCACACCACTGAAGACACACTCAGTTTAATAACTATGAGGGTGCCAGGTCATGAAGTTTGTGCTAGCAACAGGGCTGCTGAGAGGGCCACAGCTTCTCTGTCTCCCCTGGTCCAGTCCAACACAAACACGCAGATGTGTGCAGCAGCCTCCAAACAGAAGGCTGTACCGCTGCAGCTCCAGAGCTTTGACAGAGCCTCTAATTATAGGTGTGGTGAAGCTGTTTGTCCACAAGTCTCGTTTAGTCATGCACCGACTGCCCGGGCATCCTGCCTCTGCTCTGCTCCCGAGGCGCGAGGGCCAGCAGGCGGGATCCCAGCAGGAAGGCCCGGGTGTGCCGCTGCCCGAGCAGGGAGCCGCGGCCATCCCCCTGGCACACACACGTTCCCCCGGGGCGGCGGAGCAGCCGCTGCCGCTCGCGCCTCCCGCCGGCAGGGGGCCCCCTCGCGCTGCCACGCGCCCGGCGGCCGTTCAAACAGCGCGCCACTCTGCGCGCCCCTCTCATTGGCCGCCCGCCAGGGCGCCGGCCCGGCGCCCGCGGAATGACGGGAAGTGTAGTCCCGGCGGGGGCGTCGGACTCCCGCTCCCAGGGGGCGGCGCGGGCAGGGCCGCACGTGGTGGGCGCCCGGCGGCGGACGGGGGCGGTGCTCGGAGCGGAGCCACCGCCCGAGCGGGGCGGGACCCCCCTCCCCGCCTCCCGGGAGGGCTCCGGACGGCAAGGAGGGACGAAGGCGAACGGCCCCGGTGCCTCGGCGCTTCCCTACCGACATCGGTATTGGTAGGGAGAAAGGGGGTCACCTTGCCGCTGTGCGCGCCTCCGCCCGCCTAGCAGCGTGGATACTCGTACCCCTCCTGTGAGGGCGAGCCAGGAACGAGGCCCCCTTCCCCCCACGCTGTAAAGGGCAGGGGAAGGTTAACGACAAACTTGGCCCAGTTCTCCCGGGTAGGTACGGGGATCGACCCGCCTCACTGGTTCGCGGCTCCGGGGGAGCCGAAGGCAGCGAGGACCGAGCCGCGGTCCCGGAGCTAAGGCGGCGAGGGGGAAGAGTGTACGGCTGCGGGAGCGGGAAACAGAAGTGAAATCGAAATTTATAAGAAACGGTGTTTTGCTGGCATTTTTCGCAAATCCTCTACCGTGAGGGGTTTTTTTTCGCCAATCCCGCTTCTCCGGTAGCGGCACGGCCCGGTGCCGGACGGGGCGCAGGGCCAGGAGGCCCCCGGGCACAGCCACCCTATCTCCCGCCGTCTTCCCACGCACACGCACAGGCCGAATCAGGTCCCCTCGTAACTTTCCCGGCCGCGGCCCCGGGGCTCGACGGAGCGCAGCACCGCCTGGGGCCTGAAGGGAACGCAGCCCGCCTGGGAGACCGGCACCCCCGGCGGACGCTCCGCGGCGGCTCGCAGACAAAGGCGGGCGCCGGGAGCCGCAGCGGGGACTCCGGGAAAAGACTCTCCCAACCGGCACCAGCGCTCCGTAACCGCTCACCATCACCTCTAGCACTGACTCGCAAAGTTATCCCTCTGCGAGTTCAGCCCGGGGCCGGAGCCCCCAGAGCCGTGGGGGCTGCGCGCGCCGGGGCAGCTCCGAAAACATCAACTGTCCACCACCCCCTACCCCTCTCCCCTCCCGGCAGCACTGGTGCAGCCCCCTGCTTTCTCCCCGCCTCTGGGGGGGGGGTCTCCGAAATAGCAAACACACACACCAACCGGGGCAGCTCTGACACAGCTACTGCTTTCCCCCCCCTTTTCCGGGGGGGGCAATTCCGAAATAGAGACTGCTCCCCGTCCCTCCGGGGGCAACAGCGACCCAGCGATTAACCTCCCCGCATCAATCGGGGTGAAACTCCAAAATAGCAACCGCCCCCCACCCCCTTTTTCGGCAACAACTCCACAGCAGTCACTGCCCCCTCCCCCCTCCAGTCCCTCCGGCGCACTCCCCCCACACCCGCGCAGGGACCGCGACCGAGAGGGACCCAAGTTTGACGGGGCTGTCAAGCTCCCGCAGCGGATTGAATGAGACGAGCGCCGCCGCCATCCCCCGCCGCACACGGGTGCCGAGCCACAGCCGTGCCCCCCCACCCACCCGCACACACACGCACTCCCCGAGCTCCATCGCGGCGGGACGGCATCGCGGCCGCCCTCGGGAAGGTGGGAGTGAGCGGGCCGCGGAGCCGCGCGCGTCTGGCGACACCGGCGAGGACAGCGAGCACGTTTCCCGCACGCTCTAGACAAAGAAACGGCGCAAGAGGCTCCGCGCGGCGGCCCCGCGCGGAGCGCGCCGCCAACTTCCACCGGGGGCGGGGGACGAAAGAAAGGGGGAAGAAGAGCTGGGGGGAAAACGAGGCGTAAAAGGCAATTTAAAAAAAAGGAAAATATTTCAATATGCGAAAAAAATACCACAAGCGTTTGGGGAAGAAAAACCCTCGCAGCCGGTAACACGGCGAGGGGCGGGCGGCTCACCTTGGCGGAGATCTCGGCGCTGGTGTCCACGGCCGCGTCGGACATGGCGGGGGCGCGCGGGGCTGTGGCGGGGCTGTGGCGGCGCGGGCGGCGGCGCGGGCAGAACAATGCCAAGATGGCTTTGCGCGAGTCAGTGGGGACTCACGCGGCTCCACGGGCCCTCTTATAGACGGGGGGGGCGGCGCGCGCGCTGCCCCGCGCCGCGCCCATTGGCCGCGCGCGCCGCTGCCGCCGGCTCCCATTGGCCGCGGCTCAAACAATGGGCAAGGCCGCTTAAAGCGGCAGGAGCCGGCACCCGACGACACTGCGGCGATGAGTTCGGGTCCGGTCTCAGCGTTATGCTGAAGAGCGGGTCAGTGGGCGGGAGAGCCACGCCCCCTCCATCCCCGCCCCTCCGCGCTGCCACGCCCCCACTGCCTCCGCCACGCCCCGCCGTGTGAGGCGGCGGGCGGGCAGGAGTGAATTCATCTTCCCCCCCGCCCGTGTGTGTGTCCCTGTCCCCCGCCGCAGCCAGACCGCATGCCTGCGGAGGGGCGGGAGGCGCGCCCGCCCGCCCGCCCGCGGCGGGGAAGAAAATAATAGGAGTTAATAGTAATAATAACAATAACAATGCGGGAGAACCGGTGCTGTTCCCCACCGTTTCCCTGCACCCCGCGGTGCCAGAGCGGGCGGGTGATACCGGAGAACCGTCGAGGGGTAGTCGCCGAGGGGATTATTCGTGTGTTTGTGTGTGTGTGTGTATGCGTGTGTGTGTCCAACCCGCGCTGTGTTTTCAGCGCCGCAGAAAGTTTCACCACAACAGCCGTCAGCGGCAGAAGGGTGGGAGGAGGCGGCCAGCCGAGCTCACCGGGGCTGCCGGCCGCGGCCCCTCGGAAACGCGGGATTCCCATCCGTACGTTTATTTTACAGTTAATAAAAACGGACTCGGGCCACCCCACCGCCCCTTTTCACCATGGCTACCACACACCTTTTGCACCCGGAGTTTCCCCTCACTCCCCCCTCCGCAGCCTCTTGTTGCACCAACACACATTCCCCCCCCTCCGCGGGCACCGGGGCCACCCCACACTCCCCTCAGTCAGTGGGGTAACGGGGCACCGACACCGCGAGCGAGAGGGCTCTGCCACACTCAAGATGGCGCCGAGAGCCCTTCGTGGGGTAACCACGCGGTTTTCCCCCACCTCGGGAACCGCTTCGCTGCCCGTAACGGCCCCGCGGGCGAGGCGGCGCCGCGCATAAGCGCCCCCCGACGCGGAAAGTACAGAGAAAGGGGCGAAAAGATGAAAAAAAAGGGCACCTCTAGACGGAGCAGCACCTCTGCCACACTCAAGATGGCCGCCGGCACAGGGCTATAGCCGGCCAAGCCTGCTCTCGGAGGGCGGGACATAGGGATCTAGCGATGTGGATTGGCCAACAGCACAGAGCGAACGCTGTGCTGACGCTTTGCGGCTTCTTACTGGCTGGAGCTCCTATCTGTCTAAAGCGAAGTGGCTTTGAAAACCCGGAGAGGGAGCGAGGCGGAGCGTTGGAGCGGAGCAGGAACTACCTGGCCCGGGTATTGGGGTACCCCACAGGGGCGTGACCCTCGGCGGGACTGCCGCGGGCGGAGGGTGCGTTTCTCGTTGCCGGGAGCCGGGCTACCCTCGCGTTGCCTCCCACAGTTTCAGGAGAGCTGCGGAGAATCCATGGCAGCCTCATACCGCCTGGCACCAGGCGTCGCGGCACGAGGCATCATGGCGCCGGTCTCCCTCATTGCAGCCCCTCATGTCCCTGGGCTGTTGGGCACCGGGGGAACAGGGCCGCGTTTCCGAGACAAAATATCCCTTCCACAAAGCACAGTAGCACTGAAAACAGGCTGGTCCTTTTCTGGTGGCACCGTGGCGCATTTTTCACCTCAGCGTCCTGCCCCTCGTGGGAGAAGCCGTGAGGTGTCAGTGGGGGGTATCGGGGCCTCAGGGAGGAGGCAGGAGCGGGAGCCCGAGGGCAGAGCCCTGACACGGGAAACTCGCTTTGCGTCAGAGACGCTTCCCACACAACGGTGCCCCGATCGCGGCTTTCGGGCGCTGCCGCTTAACCGGTGTTTGGTCAGGAGGGGCCTTTTGGGGGACAGCAATTTCTCACGTTTGGATGTCCCGCCCTAACCTGGTGGCGGAGCTGGGCGGGAGTGGGGCGAGAGCCTCTCCACGCACCACGGGGAAGGACAGAGCAGAGGAATCCGGGATTTCTGGTGGCTGCTGGCTGCGCCCCTCGGTCGGTGCCAGCTGCTCTCTGCTCCCGGAGACGGCACTCGACAGCGGCTGTGGGTTTGGGGCAGGTTGGAAACACGGCTGGAGGCAGGAGCGCCCTCTGCCACGGTCGAGTCTGGCGCTGGCGGGCAGCGAGTCTCTTGCTTCCGAAAGAGGAAAGAAAAATGCCACCCAAGCCTAGCTCTAAAATAAAGCACTCTTGCTGCAACTTGGCTTTAGTGCGTGCCTTTTCAAAGTAGGGATGTTCCTTTGGGCTTGGAGTTCCCACGTTTCATGAGCAGTTAAGAAAATAAAAAGAGATGTGGGATATTTGGGAAGAAAATTAGGAAGTCTCAAGGGATGGTCACAGCAGGATCCCACTAACGACGACGGGAGTGGGGAGAGAGAACGAGCCCAAAGTGGAAGCAAAACCCCCTTAAACCACTCAGCTTCGGAAATCTTGTATAGCCCTTGCTGCTGTCCCTCTGTGCGGCGGGATAGCCCAGTTGCTGCGTGCTCCTGCGCGTCAGGCAGAGGCACAGGCTCAGTCCCGCGTTTTACGCCTCAGCAGTCCGAAAAGAAACAACAACAAAAAAAACCTGTTGCCTGTAAAAGGCAGCTGCTGCGCTACCTCTTCTCCACCCCTCTCGGCGGCTGGGGCTGGGGAGCGGCTCCGCAGGGAGCAACGAGAGGAGGAGAAGGAGGCTGGAAGGAGACTTTATTCTAAAGTGCCCGAGCATCAGGGACAGAAGTTTCCAGGGCTGAACTCTGCCTGCGACTTCACTCCGACTGCGGCAGCGATCTCTTTGGCAAAGGAGGTGCCAGAGGAGGCGGTAGGAGTTTTTCCTCTTCATCGTCTGTTTCCCTGGTTCAGCAAGTAGCAGCCTCTCTAATCCCCGGCGAAGATCCTGCTGCTCGGGCGATTATTTCATCGCGGCAAGCTGCTCCTCGGAGGAAATTCTCATTACACTCTTCGGAGAAGCAGGGGAGGGGCGACTGTCACTCAGCTGCTCTGGAAAAAACAGAGGGATGAGCCTGCAGCATCCCCGGGCTCCGGCGCACGAGATGTGGTGGTGTTTCTAGGTCAGGCTGGTGATGCGGGACGTGAAGCTGGCAGAGATGACATCCTCGCTGTGTCACCTTCTGTTCCTCGATGGGCAAAGGTTGCACACGGGGGCCATGGCTTTGTGGACGTTTGCTGTTGTGGGGCCTGAAGGAGCGAAGGAGCATTGCCAGGAAGGCTGGAGGGCAATGATGAGGTCAGAAGGGGCTTTATGGGTGCTTACAAGGAGGGAGTGGAGGTGTGTAGAGCAGTGGGGCTGGCTCACGGGTGCAGGAAGCATATTTGTGAGATCACGAGGCCAAGGCTGAGACTTCACTACAGAAGACAGATTGTGCTTGGACAGCACCAGCCACCACAGCCCAGAGGAGGGCTGATGAGGCTGCCCTTCTCCCCACATCCCGGGTTGCCACTGCTCAATCCATCCCTGTGAGCCACGTAAACAGGAGGGAGGTGGTCCCTGTGGCACACTTTCCTTAAGGGATGGAAACATCAACTTCACCTTTCCCTGGTTGATTGCAAAAGGCCCAGGCGGGCACCACACTTCTGCTCTCGGCCATCCCTGCTCCGACACGCACTCTGCCCCCCGTGTTACAAAACGGGACTGACTCACCGGCCTTTCCCAGCCCATTGCTCACGGAGCCTGGAGACATTTGCAGGGATCCCTCAGAGGGATGTAGGAGTCTGGCTGCTCTGCACCCTGCTGACGGCACCCAGGATGGGACACTGTGTCCCTCCAGCAGTCCCCTTGGGCCTCTGTGTGGAGCCCGGGGTGAGGACAGCTTTCTAGGAGGTTATCCCCTGAGACTGGCGGACATGGGAAAGTGAGTGTGACCTCTCCAGCTTCCCTGACCCTCAGCAGGCAGTAACACAATGGCTCCTTGATGTCTAAGATGTTTGCTGCCTTTTCCACTGCTCTGTGAATGCACTGCCCTAGCTGATAGGGAGGTGGTGACAAGGGAGCACCTTCTTCTGGCTCCCTCAGCTGGGTGCTGGCAGGAGCCAGGGCCAGGTTGAGGGCAGCAGTACACCCCGGTGCTGCTACTAATCCTGCTCCTGCCTCTCGGCAGCAGGGACACAATGTGGAGACAAGGGAAACCTCCAGTTTGGAATGATGGCTTTTCCAGGGTACCCACAACAGCAGGAGAAGACCCAGAATCACTTCCCTCGCTGCCAGGGACTAGCGCCAGTGATGCCACAGCCCAGGAGCTAACCCTTTCCTTCCCTGCCTGCATGCCAGGATGACTGCAGCTTAGCCCTGGCAGGCTGCTGGGGGCCTACAGCCTGGTTTGAAGGCAACAAAGCTGATTATTGCCTTTCTGTAAAGTAAAGAGTGAGGAGGGCATCAGGGCAACCTGCCCCAGAGGCAAGGGGAAGAGACCTGGGCCCCAGGATGTGGCTTGGGGAAGCTGGAAAAAAATTGTTTCCGTCTTAATGAGTTTTCTGGTTTGGGTTGTTTGTTTTTTCCCCCCTGGTTTGAAGGCTGGTTGTGACTGTGAGCCCGAGTGAACAATGCCATGGATCAGACTCAGGGCAAGGGCCTATCACACAGATTACACCCACACCCTGCACCAGGTTTGGGCCTTGGGCCAGAGACATGGTTTCGCTCCTTGGGGCTCCCGTCCCATTGCTAAAAGTGATGCGTGGAAGAGTGAGCAAGAAGGTGGGAGGGAGGAGGCGAGGCCAGGTTCTCTTCTCTCCTTGCCTCTCCCAGTGCTTTGCAAACACAACGTCTTTACTCTGTCCTCAGGAGGACAGAAAACACTCCCTGCACATGTTTGAGGCTGGATGCATGTTGGGGCAGGGATCGCTGTGTGGTTTAGCCAGCCCAGGCACATGACCCCAATCGTGCCCTGCTCTCCATCTCCCTTCCTCTTGCTGTCCCCAGGAGAACACCTACCAGGGCCACTCCAAGGGAGTCTCCACCCGACCAGGGCCAACCTTCTGCTCCAAGCCAACTGTGAGGCACTGATGGCCATCGTCCTGCATCTGTGAGGTGAGACACTACCACTCCTTCATCCTCACCCTTCCTTGCCACATTGGCACCCCTGGGAGAAGACGGACACAACGTGCACACACATACTCACAAAACCAAACTCTGGATCAGTATCAGAGAGAATTAATTACTGGCTCATGCATATTCAGATGAGAAACTCAGCTGAACCTGGCGGCAGTTTGGTGCCTGGGGCGGCCCTGGAAAGGAGAATTCCTCTGGAGAGATATAAATCACTGCTCCCCTCTATTGCTTCCCTCATGGAGTGCTACCTCCTGGGGAAGACTGAACCTTGATTTGCTTTTTTCCTCCGTCTTCGTTTTCAATCTGCGCGGGGCCCCTGTAATTACAATGGGCTGCTTTAGGGCTTGAGTTATTTATTGGGTAACAGCGACACACCCACCCGGCTCCAGCCGCCCGCCCGCCTGTCGTGGCTTGTTCTGCCTACCCAGCGGCGCCCACTGCGCCGTGCCATGCCGTGCAGTGCTGCGCTGCTATGGCTTCAGACAGCAGAAATAGGCGGCAGCAAACACAGACCACCGGCCTTAAGTGATCTACTCAATATGTGCCTAGCGGTGTAGCCCCTGCGAGCAGGAGCAAGAGGCACCTTCTTGTTTTGTTGCAAAACACCATCTCACACACACATTTCTGTTTGGCACGGCGGGTGGTGGAAGCCTCCTAAGCTGGCGCCGGTTGTTAAATCTTTAGCCCCATTTTACAGTTGGGGAAAGCGAGGCACAGAGTGGAGAGGCGATTTGCCTGCATTATCTCAGGAGGTCGAAAAAGAACTCATCCGTCCAGCTGATGTGTGGCTGGGTAAGAATATGCTGGCTGAAGCACTCAGCTCAGTGCTTCGGCAGGAGGGACCTGTCTCCCTGCCTCTGCTTTCCCAGCAGGGGTCCTCTGCCCAGCCTTTGCTTCACATCTCCCTGCTCAACCCCACTCTTCCCCCACCAGGGTGGTGTGTTCCAAGGAGATGAGCACTCGGGGCTGGAGACCACATGGCTGGAGGGAATTAAATAATTGATGGGCCAGAAGTCTCGAGCAGCTACCAAACCTCCAGAGGCGCATTGCATTCAAGAGCAGAGCAGAGCCCTGGACAAGCCCCTTCTCTCTGATACAATGCCAACGTGTCTCACTCCTTCCTGGAGCTCCTGGTGCGGAGAAGATGGGGTGCTGGGGGTGGGAGTGCTCCCCCGCTCATCTGGCCTCCCAGCTCCGCCCCCGCCCCGTGCTGCTGGAATACTGAAGGGACTGGCCGCCTTCCAGCCAGGCAGGGAGGAGCCAGGGGGAAGGAGACTGCTGCTTCCAGGCTAA